AGTTTGAGTAATAAATATTCTTTTCATTTCATTTCCTGGTTTAAGTAAAGATTTGTTTTTTTTTAATAACATTTCAACATTTCGTGAAGGAAATTATGTTTTTTAAAATTACATTGAAGAACAAAAATCACTTTTAAACTTTAGTGATTACAATGAGTTTTAATTAATCATTTGACATTGTTTTTTATAGAACATGTTTTTGCATACAATAATAGTGACTTTGTAGGGATGTCAATTTTGTCAATAATTCATATTCGAATATTCAATGAAAGTATTTGAATATATTCGAATATTCGATAAAATAAATAAAATCTGGTATATTTTAAACATGCATTATCCTAATCTCGTGAAATGTTTAACGTACATGTAAGTAAATTGGGAGTGAAATTGTATGAAGACTTTTGCAGTTGTACAATAAAGAATTCCATTTGATATTTGTCAATGTCTGAAATGAATAAATGATTTTGATGTAGAAAAGTATAATTATAACAACTGATACATGTGTATTTATAGTAGCTCCAACTGAGGAATCAGTCGTCTTACACCAAAAGCAAGATAGTCGTACACTGTTCAGATTTCAATAAATGTAATTAATTATAATTATCAGCCTAATAAGGGATATAATTATTATCTTTGATACAATGTTTTTGAAATATAGACAAATATTTCCATGGATAATATTCCTAAGTAATTAAGTAATTTCCCGATAATGAAAGTAAAATTCAGGATTATGCACAACCCTAGATAATCAAGTAACTTACACATTTATTCTAAAATTGAGCCCTTAACAATATTAATTACATGCTAATTCTATCGGACATTCATTCAATGATCAATTACATTTATCCGGAAGTTTATTCGTTACGTCTTTTAGACATTCTAAGAAGGTTTTCATTTTGTTTCGTCGATTCTAGATCCGATCGTATTTAACTAATAAAAGCTATGAAAGTGCGTTTTGTATTATACATAAAACATTATTGTATAATTCCTATAACAAGATATATCAGCTGCCTCGTTTAAAGTCATCATTTCGTAAGTTCTACGGTCGATACAATGACCTTGTCAGCCAATACAATTTATCATTGAGTCAAATGCTGGCTGACGTTTTTCATACTAATTGTTAGGCCATTATTTACACACTGAATTGTCGACGGATTTTTCCGTTATTTCCCAATCATGAAAAGGAGCACACGGCGGGTGTGACCGGTCGTCAGGGAATGCTCACTCCTCCATGGCACCTGATCCCACCTCTGATGTTTTGGAAGTCCGTGTTTGCTCTGCTCCTATTTTGTAATGTGTACTGGACTTTTGAGCTTGAATACTGTTCGTTATCATCATATATTTCCTTAACACCTTACTCAAAGCATAATAATTTAGTAGATCAATAAGATTAGAAAGTAGTGAAAGAAATCAGGCTATCGAAATTGATCGCTAGTAAATTAAACAGGAATAATTTCAGCACTGTTCTAATCAAAATTTATTAATCACAGTACTTCTTTTTATGAAATGTGAAGACATCGAATATTCGAATCTTAAATTCATATTCGAATATCGACTCATCGAATGAATATTCGAATATTCGTTGACATCCATTATAGTGAGTATTATGAAAGTGCCATAAGCGATATTATTACATTATTATTAGACTAAAAGTCCATCGAAAGTACAATAATTGTTCAGAGACACACTTGTCTATTACAAGTTAAAATACACATTATACTTTTTGATATCGATTTCATATATTTATTCATTAGGTTTTTGACTACTCTTAAAACTTGTTTGTCGTAAAGTTTGTCGCACAAATAGAATTTCATGTCGCACAATGTTCATTGCGTAATTGGGCAACTAGATATTTGCACAGTTTTACCAACCAGAACTGTCTGTGATCAGCTTCTGTATAATCCCTATGTGTTGCTCATTGTTTTCTTCCTTTAACTTTACCAGATTCCCAACACTGTAAGTGGCCTGTATAGGAAGATAACTATCATGATATGCAATCATTAAACAAGAGGTCTTTGAGCAAATGCTTACTAGTAATAACCCCCGCTCTGATGTGAATATATGCTCTCTTGTGAATTTCACAAGTTCAGATGCGACGTAAATTTGGTTCGGACAGATGATCGAATCGACAGAAAGCTGAAATCGGATTCGTACAAAAATGAATCCCACTATATGACATGCAAATTTAAAGAACACAATAATGTAAATGTATATAACTTTTCTCAATTTTTCCAAACCGGTACTTCATTGTATTTTTTCCCTTCTTTTTGCTTGCATTTTTTAAAATGTTTAATCAATGTTATTTACCTTGACCTTGCTACAGGGAGAGGGCTAAAATAGGCTATGCCTGCTGCCAAATCCCATTGACTTCATGTGAATGAAATTACATATGTATAAATAAAAAAACGAAGAATATAATGCTACAATTTCAAGCAACTGCAAGGAGAAGTTGCTGAGAAAACTGCGAAAAAAATTTGGTATGGACAGACGCACGGGTAAACAGGAAGCTGACATCGATTCACACAAAAATGAATCCCACCATATGGCATGCCTAAACAAAGAGTGCGTTAAAATTTCAATCAAGCATCTGCGCTGAGTAGTTGTCAGCAATTTTTGTGGTAGCTTTCAACCACCGAGAAAATTGTGACAAAAATTTGCTATGTATGGTACGGACAAACGCACAGATAAAAAGAAAGTTGAGAATGGATTTGCACAAAAATGAATCTAATCACGTCGGATTCGAACAAAAATGAATCCCACCATATAGCCAGCTTAAACAAAGAGTGTGCTAAAATTTCAAGCATCTGCGATGATTGGTTGCTGAGAAAACTGCAACAAAAATTTGTTACGAACAGACAGACACACAGATAGAAACACAAGGGTAAAACACTATAACCCCTCTCCTTCCGAGCGGGGTTATAAAAACGTATGTGTGACAGACTTATTGAATTGCGGATGAAATAAGCACAGGCCCAGCAACAGTTTCAGAAGGGGTGGACTTCCCAAAAAAAAATGACAAGCAATAAAACCCCCATAATTACCTATTCAAATCCTGGATTTTTCTATAGCTCGACCTTACATCAACAAGAAGTGCGGATGAAGAGGGAGGAGCAACATCTAAAGGGAAATTAACTATTATAATAGCAAAATACTATACTCAGAAAAAGAACCACCCCACACCCCCCTCATGTTCTACGGGCCTGAAAAATAAATACCGGAAAAAGTAACGTCATAAATACATCAGTAACCTTGTGTTCGGCTATATACAAAACATAATGTTGTGTTGATAATGTGTTATCAAGATATTATACAGCAGTGCATCATATGTTGTCTGTGAAATAATTTTCACTTTGATCTTTACAATGTTACAATGTACATATGTGTAAATTATAAAACAATAAAATATGTAAGTTTCACTGTAGTATTGACTGGAAAAGCTACCATTGTATCATGTACAATAAATTAAAATAATGTCAGTCAAAATTGCAAGTAGTAAATTAATGAATGTGTTATATATATTAAAGTTATGTACAGCAAATAATAAATAAAATTGTAGGATTTGAGGCTAGTCGTTAAGGTTTGTGGATAATAAAATCATCAAAATCATAAAAATAATCATTATAACCTTTAAAACGTTTTGCATTTATGACCGAATTTGTTTGTAAAGCATACACTTCGTACTCTTACTAAAAGAATGAAGAATAAAAAATAGACATTTTACGAAAGATAAAGCCATGTCAGTGTAAAAAAAAAAGCGTCTGAGTGATTTACGAGGCTTTTGTGTGTTTGCCTGGTGCCAGTGAAACTTTTTCGTAACCATGACGTAATAAATAAAAAAAAATCAACTTACCAAAGTTCCGATAAAAGCATATGAAAAAAGCAAAGCTACCACAAAACTTGCTGACAGAATCATCAGTTTTCTGCCCATATTAACTTCTTGCCTTTACGTTAGCTTATACACTGCTGGCCGCATGATTGACTACAATAAATCTATCTGGAGATTGTCAGATACAGTTTTTGTTAAGGAACATGCATTTTGCGTGGTTCATTTTGTCAACATCTGCAATTTATTTGTAATAACAAGAATTCTATTTCACAGCCCTCTTAGATTCATCAATGTTTTTTTAAAGAAGAAAAGAGCAGAAAATATTGATCATACCTTTGTTTTCTTTTTCTTTTTCTTTTTTTTTTTTTTTTTTGTTTTTGTTTTTTTTTTTTTGTTTGTTTGTTAGTTTCATATTTTTGTTTTTGCTGTTTCTGTATTTTTTTAATTCCTTGAGAAAGTCTACGCTTGTATTAAAAATTTATTCGACCAGGGAATGGTTTAGTCGTGTTAAGTTAATTTATAAAGGCAAAATGACATTAAATGCCACGGTAGGTTCTCATATACGCCTTAACGGACCAATCAATTTGGATACCAAATAAAACAGGGTGAGGGTGGGGGGTTGTATAGAAATGGTGAAGATGTGATAGTTTTACAAAACCTCAAGTCTCACAATTTCAATATATGTCAAAAAGTATATTAATGTAAAAATGTTGTCGAACTAATTAATCAAAAATATCTGTTAGAATTTAAATTTTTGCGAGTCTGTATATATTTTCTAAGGATTAAGGGGCAGCATACGATAATTAAAAGCATTTTTAATACAATATAGATAGACCATGATATATCCTCTTATGACATGTATATTATAAAAAAGGCTTTAGTCTAAAAAGAACTTTTCAACGATAGCAGACCCATAGCTTGTAACAAGATAAAGGTAATTAGGTCAACTAGATCAGTGCATTTACTAAAACCTGCAAAACACCTGTTTGTCTGTAGAGTTTTGAAAGAATACATACTGATATCTAGTTAGATGATAATTATAAGAAACAATTTCCTTGTAATAACACAAAATAAGCTTGCAAAGAGCAATTTTAACATAATGCATAGGGATGTCTGGCTTATTTCACTCTGTTCAAACAATACCGTTCAGGAGTATAAATTTATTTGTCCTTGTGTTTTGGGAGTATTCAAAGACTGAAATCGTTCCCAAAAATAAGGTAAGAAAGAATGGATGATTTAATTGGCCTAAATATAGCTTACCTCATCAAGTTTTTCCATTGTAATGTATAAATATCAAAATACAGATTTATTGTTAAAAAGGATCCCTTCATCGTGATAATTATAAAGCAACAGGTTTTGTTTTAAATTTTATAAAGTATAAACCATGCAATGTTCATACGATTAAAAAAATATAGAAGAATGTAAAAGAATATTAAACATAAAAGACATTCAATATCCAAGCTACAAGTAGCAGTATAATTTGGCTACATACATGTACATGTCTTTGTTTGGTATTACTTTTGTAGAATTTTTTGAACATACAGAACATGGCACTTTATTTATTTTTACTTTTGGTGGCTTCGACGATGGTGCATTCTCAAACGAACAGTAAGGAATGAAAACTCAATAAAACGCTAGAAAATCGAACATAGCTTTTTCTCCCTATATTGAAGTTATCACTATGCAAAGTACTACAAAAGTAACGAACTGTTTTATAATTTCATATATAAAAAAATAACGGATATAAGGAAATGATTTTAGCTTCAAGTATAATAACTGTTTAAGCTGTTTTATGTTTTGTGCACATATAAGTAATATCAATTAATTCAATTTAATACGTCTTCGTTATCTTTTAGAAGACGAAAATTTTCCACAATAAAAAGTATTGTCGTTCTTTACAAAGTTAGTTTTCTTCTCTTATTAAAAAAATGATAATGAATGAGATTCTTGGGAAGAGATGACGTTTTTTTCTGATATGTTTTTTTTAGATTGTGCTTGCATACAAGTCTACGACCCCGTCTGTGGGATTAACGGCAGGACATATTCTAACTCAGCCTGTGCAGGATGTGCGTAAGTAACGCTGGTCTATCAATCTTTGTGCTTTATTATTAATACAAATATTTAGAACGGGCATTAATACAGTGAAATCATGAATTAAGAAGAAGGCATATCAAAAATTACGTATTTTTTATGAAAAGAAGCAATTTATCCTGCCCGAGTGATTCACTCTGAGCGTCTTTTATTGCATTTACTATTGATAGTTCGTATGACTTTTGGCTTTGAAGAAAAACTATTAAAATTGTTCGTTATTTTTTTTTAAATAAGTTATTGATATAATGTTCCCCATTTAGGATATATAACAATGAATAAAAAACAGGGTGACAAACTTCTTTTTCAATTTCTGATTCTGAGTTTGCAATGTCTTAGTATGAGCGTTCTTCCGAGAATTCATAATACATGTAGTCATGAATACGGGATTTTGTATTTACATCATACATGTATAACTGTTGTTTTCCACTTCTTGCAGTGTCTCCAAAATTGTACACACCGCATTTGAAAACCGTATATGTCACTTGTAAAAACAGTGAACTTGAAATATTACAAGAACCCCCTGTTGATTCTGTTGATTTTATTATTTTGGTCGTCTTTTATGATCCAGAAATATATTCTCTTAATATACACGCTGATGTATTTGGATGACTGACATCGATTTTTCGGGCGAATTAAAGACCTTTCGTGCATTTTGGACTTGGTATTTCCTCACTCCATCTTATAATTAATAACATGAAATGATGCAAGTCGTTTTTGTTACAACATGTTTAAATTTTATTTATCCTAGAATTCCTTTATAAAAAATAAAATCATTTCAGACATTTTACACAATTTGAACATTTTTATCTTTGGCCATGTACAACTTTAGCGATCTTTTAAATTGGTGGTTTTAACATAAAACGTAAGTTTAAATAATCAAACCAATTATTTTGACTAGGATATATACTTGATATATAATACATATTTTTGTATATAGAATATATACACAATGTACCTAACACCATTCAATTGACAAAAAGACAGTTGTCTACGAACTTTTTGAAATTTCAAAATTTCTCTAGAGGTGTTGCCGTGCAGTGTCGGGGTGAGTGCCCTTGTAGAACCACAGGAAACTGTGCCTGTGGCTTTATCTATGACCCAGTGTGCGGATTCAATGGTAGAACGTACAGCAACAGTTGTGTCGCGCGGTGCAGGTAAGATTTATCCAAGACTTTACAATATTACTCCTACATAACGATAATCCTTTTGTTCGATTTTCTAAACTTAGCCATAAATCGATTTAATAGGTTTCACAAATCACAACATGTATGTAACAAAAAGTTTTCCAACCCCAAAACACATATAGAATAAATAAAATTCACAGCATCCGGAAAACCGCTTGACTAAACAAAAGACGTGCATTTTTGTACACAATCTGTGCTGGTTTTATAGATAAAATAGTCAACATGTTTGCAGTTATTTGAGTTGATCAGTGAATAATTCTTTCTTTTTCAGTGGAGTATTTTTCTATTGGCGAGGACGTTGTCCATGGTAACCTGACTATACTTGCTAAATAACAATTTTTGTTCATTAATTATTCAAGTATATTCAGTGATGTATATCAACGTTAAACTTTCACTTTCTTGGTAAGAAATAAAATGAACCTAGTAAAAACTGCATTTGCCTGACTGATTAAAATAATCCGATAACTGATATCGTGTTATCAATATAAGTGGTTTTTTTTCCCTTTTTTTAGGGGGAGGGGATGTCAGTCAAATTGCAAATTCTGAATGCCATCACATTGCATTACTTCTATCGAGGCGGAGATTGAAGGGAAGTAGATACGGCTTTGGCTTTTTTTTTTTTGGTCCTAAAAATTTGTTAGTTTTAAATTATTTTGAAATTTGCTTAAAACGATTTAATTATATGAATGTAATAAATCAGGAAATAAATGACAAAAAGGTGAACAGCTCTTGAAATGTGCAGTGAATAATTTGGACATTTCTTAGTTTAAACAGAAAAAAAGCCTCACAATTACTCATTCAAAGTGTTATTTTCTTTCTATATAATAGTGTTATTATTTGGATGTACAATGTCAAAATGGTAGTCAGGATTTGACACTATGTGTCAATCCCGGACTACTATTTCGGCATAGTACATCCAAATAATAACTTTATTGTTATTATTATGCTGACTGTCTTTGAATAATGTGACATACAATGCATTTTAAACATTTTATTTTCATAAATTTAACTTTACATAGTGACACGTCGCCTGCGTGGCGCAGTGGTTAGAGCGTCTGCTCTAGAGTCGCGAGGTAAGGAGTTGATCCTTACGTCGCGGGTTCGAATCCCACTGTGGGACGTGGAGACCGGTCCTTCGGATGAGACCGTATAAACCGAGGTCCCGTGTCGCAGTAGGTGTTGGCACGAAAAAGACCCCTCACTGCTCAATGACCGTAAGTGCCGAGCATAGGACAAGATTTGCAGCTCTCCACCGGCAAGTGGTGGCGTCTCCATATGAGTGAAAAATTCTCGAGAGGGACGTTAAACAACAAACAAACATAGTGACACAGTAACGCAGTTTAAACAAAACTGTATACAACTGAAGCATCACATATTGTTTAAATGTTAATGATAGTAATTCTGAATTGTTACATTGCATCCGGAAAACTGAAAAATAGGTTTGACAGCCTGCTGAGGACTCTTTTCCATATCTATGGCACACTTCAGGGGTCCTGCATCATCATTATCAGTCATTTCAGTATCTGGTAAAACAGAAAATAAATAGTACATAATTATTAATTATCACTTTCATTCATTGCTTGCATAGATATTTATATGTATCTTTAAATTAGAGCTAAACAAAAGATCTTGTGAAATAAGGTTTACAAACCTCTCACTGTACACGTGTTTTCAATTGCAGCTTTAATAGCTTTCCCTAAAAAAACAGAAACAGCACTTGATTATTTAATCCATGTAATATAATATTACCTTTACAAAAACATATGTGTTTACATGCAAAATGTAAATGGTTGCAATAATCATTGCTACCCCTCCCTCTGAATAAAAACAAACTTGCATGTCTGACGGGATTTTTTTTACTAGGGCCTGCTTTATGTCCAACACAAACACTGATAGCATCTGACGTAGCTTTTTCTGCTGATCTGAAAAAAAATAGGTATATGCATAAATGCATGGTTGCAAAATCTATATATAACATTGTCTGTAAAACTAATAAATACATCATTAGTACATACTAAAATGAGTAATCAGAGGTATCATAGCAATAGCTAGCAAGTGATGCTTCATTCCGGTGGCCACTTATTCAAATCCACAGTGGTTCAACAGTGTAATTGTGGTTGACCGAATGCAGTGATTTGTGTATTCATTTGTTAATCCGGCATTCTTAGACAAATTTTTCATGATTTTTTTTCAACTGGTTCAAACCCAATGGTTCATTCTGTACCAAACCATGTCCTCATCACAGAAACTGTTTTTTAGATGAAGAAAGATGGATCACTTCCCAAGTGTCTTTTTGACACGTATTTCTCTAATAACTTGACGGGACAGAGAGGGGAATTTTTTATTTCATACATTCGTGCTCCTGAACTCTCCCTTTCATTTGTTATTCCTTGGTGATTCTTAGAAATTTTAGAAGTCAGTTTTCTCACAAAGCGTTCTCAATTTTCCCATAGGATTTCAAAACCCTGCACCTTCAAAATTTGAAGGTTTTCTATTCTTCGTCTAAGGAAATACATAACTATATCAAAATTTAACCTCATTCAGGAGTCTTTGGGGTGTCGAATGAAATATATGGAGATAACGAACAGTATTCAAGCTCAGAAGTCCATAAACAATACAAAATAGGAGCAGAGCAAACACGGACCTCCAAAACATCAGAGGTAGAATCAGGTGCCATAGAGGAGTGAGCATCCCCTGCCGACCGGTCACACCCGCCGTGTGCTACTTGTCATGATAGGGAAATAACGGGAAAATCCGTCGACAATTCAGTGTGTGAATAATGCTATAACAATTAGTATGAAAAACGTCAGTCAGCATTTGACTCAATGATAAATTGTTTTTGCTGACAAGGTCATTGTATCGACAATAGAACTTACGAATTTAAACGAGACTGCTGATATTCTTGTTTGATCAACTTGTTTGTCAATAATGTACCTCGTTTTAGAAATTGTACATACGTAGAGCATGCTCTTGAATCAACTGAGAGAAAGGTCGAAAACTAGCTTATGCCAATAAAGTCTCCTCAGATCTTTTACCAATTTAGCAGGATGTTGGCTAACACTTCCCTCGTCCTCTGCTCTGGTTTTTCTCAAAAGTGACGATAAACAACTGTTCGCAGGGCCAAAACCCGGGTTACTGATAATATCGATGGTGTAACAGTTTTCTTTCATGTACCTGCAAATCCCCTGAGGTATATTTAACAAAGAGTTCATTTTGTAAAGTTCCCCCGTTTTTGTTCTTACATTACTGTAAGTTTGTAATTCATTATATCAGTCCCCCCCCCAAACCCCCAGTATACAGAAGTCAGTAAATATTCTGATGGAAAAATTGGTTGCATATTTCGTTTTTGCGGACACAAAATAACTTTCTTTAAAGTCACTTGGGTTTACCTTTCCAAACCTAGACATCGCAAGGCAGACGAGAAATCATGCCAAAATGCACTTTGCACTTTTACCCACGTTGCGAGTTATTTTAAGCGTTTTATAGTATAATATATAAAATAATATATAATTTTCTCCAATAATTTGTCATTGAAGTATTTCTACTTTAACAAACCTCGCAAAAAATTGAAGTAACTTACCAGGGATTTTTGGTAGGTATCGGATAATGATGTTTCCTATATTATTCTTTTGAAAATAACTTGGATTGCTTATATCACAGTTGTTTAGACCTTATTTTTTGAAAATATTTTAAAAATAGTTTAGACATAATGTTAGAAATAGCCAGATAACAAAAATTATAAATATTTATGGTAAATTACAAAGACACACAAAAGCAGATATATTTGAGGAAAAGGTCTTCAAAACTTAAAGATATTTCATGCTTTTGGACTTGATATTTCCTCACACCATCTAATGATTAAGAATATGAAATGATTCAAGTCATTTATGCTTAATCACATTTTTAATTTTATTTATCTTAGAATTCTTTCATAAAGAAAAATAAAATCATTGGAAACTTTATATACAATTTGAACATTTTTATTCTTAACCATGTACAGCTTTCACGATCTCTTAATTCGGTGGTTTTAACATAAAGCATGAGATGAAATAATCAAAACCACTTATTTTGACTAGTATATATAAAATAAATCTTTTGGAATATAGAATATATACACACATGCACCTAAATTCATTCAATTGACAAAAAGACAGTTGTCTACATGTACGACCCTTTTGGAATTTCAAAATTTCTGTAGAGGTGTTGCCGTGCAGTGTCGGGGTGAGTGCCCTTGTAGAACCACAGGGAATTGTGCCTGTGGCTTTATCTACATGTATGACCCAGTGTGCGGATTCAATGGTAGAACATACAGCAACAGTTATGTCGCACGGTGCAGGTAGGATAATCCGGGATTTCCTTAGCATATTACTCCTACATATCGATAACCTTTTTGCACGATTTTTAACCTAACCATAAATCGATTTAATAAGTTATACAAATCACAACACGAAGGTAACAAACTGTTTTCAAACCCAAGAACACATAGAATGAACAGAACATATTCATAACATCCAGAAAACCGCTTGATTAATCAAAAGACATAATTTGTGCGGGTTTTATAGATAAAATAGTCAACATTTCTGAAATTATTTTGAGTTGATCAGTGATTTATTCTTTCTCATTCAGTGGAATCTTTTTCTATTGGCGAGGACGTTGTCCATGGTAACCTGACTATACTTGATAAATTGTACCTTGAATATTTTTGTTCATTAATTATTTAAGCATATTCATTGATGTAAATCAATGTTAAACTTTCTTTGAATAAAATAAAATAAATCTAGTGAAAACTACAAATAAATGATTAAAAAAAAAATAAATTCCTAGAACTAATGACGTGTTAACGATAACGGATATCGTGTTATCAATATTTGTGATTTTCTTCTTGGTTCAGTCAAATTGCAAAATATGAAACCATCACATAGCATTACTTCTATCGAGTCAGAGATTGAAGGAAACTAGATACGGTTTTGGCCTTTTCTTGCCCTTAAAAAATATTTTGAACCAGTGCACTTATGGACCCCGGTAAAATGTGATAAAATGAAGAATCAAATTAAGCATATTTTTCATCTCAGATCATTTATTGATATGTAAACCATAAGATTCAACAAATTTTATCGGTGAACTTCATGAATATACAAAGAGCAAAGCCATACAATGTGGTAGGGGTCAGCCGACATTCGTGCTTTTCTACAGTATTTAAATCGAGAATGGTCATTCATTTCAAAGTTTTTGTTTATTGTCAGTCTAACGTTGTACAAACTTGTGCGAATAACAAACGCATTATGACCCAAACGCATTATACATTTATAAA